AATCCCCTCTGGCTTCCGGCGTTTGTTGTGGTGCGGTCTCGTCTCTGATAACTGTAACATTGAACTTCTTTGGCTTCTTGTTTCTAGAATAAGTCCAATAATTAATCGCATCCAATAATTTAGCCAAATAAGAGCTCCATTCCTTAATAATATCTCTCAAATCAGACAATGATATGTAATTTATCATGTTGTCATATACTATTGTCTTCAGGGATGGGAGCTGAAGCTCGACGAGAAGCCAATGAGTACGTTACAAAACAGGGATAAACACCTGCAATCATAAGTAATAATTCAAATTGTGCACTTATTTATGAACACCTTTAAAATATTAAAAATAAATAAATACTAACCTTATCGACCTCCCACCATGCAAGATAAAGTTTAGCTTGTCCATTATCCAACACATATAATTCCTGTCGTTGATTCTTCAACTGAACTACGTGAAAAAGACGTCGGCATAATTGTATATCGCGTATTTTTTTATTTTTATTTTTCTTCAATTTCCTTAATATTATAAGACGTGACACACATGCATCAATATGTTGTTTTACAAAAAAAGACATATATTAGTGAATTACATAAATTTAAAAAAATTTAATCAAAATGAAATATAAGAAGAAATATAAGACTTACCCCCCATCGAAATAGCCATTGTCTTCAACCCCTAATAACACTCCCCACCAAGACCGTTCAATCAACAAATGCATATCATCGTTGAGTTTGTATATGTCAGCGTAACACCCTTGGCTCCGCTCATGTAGATAAAAATCAACTGCGGTCTTAGCCCAAAGGGTATTATCCATAATTATTTCTGGTAGTTGTTTCCTCTCCACTTCATCTGTCGGAATGGTACTGGCTGGTAACTTATACGAAAGCCAACAGTCATCCATCATGTCCGGCACGTGAGGGAGTTTCTCAATAATTCGATATATTACGCTATGTGAATCGGGCTCTAGAATGTTGGGAGGGACCTCTTCAACGATGACAGTGGCCTCTTGAACGGTGGAAGGGGGCTCTTGAGGGATGATAGGGGCCTCTTGAACGATAGGGGAGGCCTCTTAAACGATGACAGGTGAGTCGGGCTTTTTCTTACGGATTCTTCGCACTATTGGGGTGAACGGAGACGTAATGGCACGTGCACGCCGTCTGATGCGTGAACTCCGTCTTGCAAGAAAACCAGACGTAGAGCATCCACCTTAGCGGGCCGCTAAAAATAAATTAATACATAAATCAGTAAATAAACAGACATGATATTAAACAGTGAAAACAAAGACAAATATATTTCAAACTTGCACGGTATTCACCCAAGTCATTATTCTATCATTGTTCATAAAATGCATCAGATAACATTCCAGAAGTAATCACTTATATAAACATTTAAAAGGACAACATATAGGTTTAGTGCAGGTTCAATGACAACATAAAGAGTAGTAGTTTATTCTTGAAACTTAAATTTTCAACACTGTGAAGTTAGTATTTGTCTTTGTCTTTTGGTTGAAGTAATGCAATTCATTCAAGTTTCAATTTGCAGAAGAAGAATAGAATCTGAAACTTAAAATCTCAACACGAATGACTATTGCAACGCGAAAATGACTATCGCAACGCGAATTTGACTATCGCAACGAGAGAATCGCAATGCGATTTTCATTTCGCATTGCGATTCTTTCGTTGCGATAGTCATTTTCTCGTTGCGAAAGTAAACTATTCTTCTTCTGCAAATTGAAACTTGAATGGATTGCATTACTTCAACCAAAAGACAACCAAAAACAAATACTAACTTCACAGGGTTAAAGAATAAACAGTTTAGCAGTATTGGCAGCAACCGAATGAATTTACTAAGCAATCTAAGTGAAATGGTTAATCTAAGTGAAATGGTTAATCTAATTGAAATTACGAGTAAATTTATCATCAAGTTAAATATGAAAAATATTAAACTTACCTCGTTACGTAGAGTATGAACCTCATTCTGTAACGATGCTATCATTTCACGTAGAGCGGCTAACTCACCACGTAAAGTAGACACCTCAACACGCCATTCACCATTGTCATCGCGTAAAGTACTGACCTCATCACGTAACTCCCCTAACTCATCCCGTGGAGGTGGAGAACAGGGAGATAAACGTCGTGACATCTTTGTCGGTCGCCTATCATGAGGTGATGGTGGAGAAGAGGCTCGATGATGTGACAGAATAGGTGATGACTCTCGTTGTGGAGGTGTATAGTCGGGTCGATCAGGTGATGGCTCTGGGTGAGGTGATGGCTCTCGAAGTGGAGGTTGCTCATCATCCGTGCCATCAAAAAAACACTTACTAGCTTGCCACCAATCAGTGGCAAGCTCAGCTTCCGTGGGTGTAAGCCTCTGTAATGGAGTGTTGGCCTCCTAACAATATAAAAGCTCAAACAAAGTTAAACGTGTACTAGTAATAACTTGTTTATAAACATATGATAGTATTTGTGTTAACTTACATTATTTATTATCGTATACGGTAGTAAATCTTCCCATTGCTGCAAGGTCCGTTTCCTCTTTCAGGAAATAGCCCTAGGAATATCATTAGAAGTTTTTAATGCATATGTCTGCATGGCGGGAAAGGCCTCAAATATCCAAATCTACAAACAATATAATAACAAACATTAGTAATTGTTAAATAATTAATTATAATTTTAGAAATATTATATAAAAATTCTTACCTTAAAGGCCCAAATAAAGTCTGACAAAGTGTATTTGGAACCATCGCCACGCAAACTTTTTCGATCATCAAAGGCAGACGACAACTTATTCCATGTAGCTTTCCATAGATACGAACACCACGGAAACATGTTTCATGCATTTAGGTCCTCTACTAATTTAATTAGATCATTAGGAATAGGTTGTCTGGCCTCTCTGCCTAAAAGCCGACATGCAAAAGTATTAGAAGGCATACTCGGACAACATCGACGTCATCCATCCGAGTAAAACCATCTTTCTTATTCAATAATCTCGTCAAGTCTTCCACGTGTAAATTCGGCTTCTGCATTGACAGCTCAGGAAAAACCCGAGATAACCATGATAGGCGGGTAATATGTCTAGTGTACCGACCTACATCATCGTGTCCGAAGCGTAGACCGGTGATAAAGCAAAACTCCTCCCGCCCAAAACACGTATACGCCGGTGGAAAATCAAACCATATCTCTTCATCACGACGTTGTATAGTCTCTGGTAGATCGCTAGTCATGGTTTGAAGAAACAGATAGGTCAACATAGCATCTCCACCCGGATGTTGTACTTTCAGCCATGGCCCGAAGCAAGTATCCTCAAATATTTTTCTTTGTGCAGGTGAAAGTTTCGACGCAATTGTTTTGGCCAGACTTAATTTATTTCTTAAGGTCAATTTAGCCGAAAAAAAGTTCTACAAAAACAATAAACATACCAAGTTAGAAATACCAAAAACTACACTGTGAAGATATACCAAGAACAATAAACATAAAGAGTAGTAGTTTATTCTTCAAACTTAAATTTGCAACACTGTGAATTTAGTATTTGTCTTTGTTTTTTTTGAAGTAATGCAATTCATTCAAGTTTCAATTTGCAGAAGAATAATAATTTCTGAAACTTAAAATTGCAACACGAAAATAAAAATCGCAACGCGAATTTGACTATTGCAACGCGAAATGAAAATCGCAACGCGAAACTAAAATCGCATTGCGATTCTGTCGTTGCGATTCTCGGTTTCAAATACTAAAATTGAAACTTGAATGGATTGCATTACTTCAACCAAAAGACAAAAGACAAAACAAAAACAAATATTAAATTCACAAGGCTTAAAGAATAAACAGTTTAGCAGTATTGGCAGCAATCGAATGAATTTAATAAGCAATCTAAATAAAATGGTTAATCTATTATTGAAATTACCAGTAAACTTATCATCAATTTCAATATGAAAAACCTAATAATAATACAAAAATTTCAAAATAAAAATAATTAAAAAAACTAACCCTCGGTGGTTGATTTGGTTGATTTTCCATTTCTGACCATGAATGATTGTGAGGGTGGCTCTGAGAGATGGAGATAGACGGATTTCGCCGGAAATGGTAACTGATTTCGTCGGAGATGGGGACGAATGTCGCATTAGAGAGTGAGAGATGGAGATGAGACTGAGTTGTGATTTATGGTTTTAGGTTATGAATTATGATTATGGGATATACTGTTGACGGTTCAGTGTTTCGAAATATTAATATTCGTGTTTGAAATTTGAAAAAAAAAATACGTATTGTGATAATAATGACGCTTTGAAAATCACATTGCGATAGTCAGCATCGCGTTGCAATAGTCAGAATCTCGTTGCGATAATCAGAATCTCGTTGCGATAGTCAGAATCGCGTTGCGATAGTCATAATCGCGTTGCGATAGTCGAAAAATCGTAACGCAAATTTGAAAAATCGCAATGCGGTAGTCAAAATCGCGTTACGAATCTGGAAATTGATTTACGATACCGAAAATCGCGTTGCGAATTATCGATCGCATTACGATTTATTTGATCATTTTGACAAATCCAAAATAAATTGATTAAAATCGTATATTATAAGACATTTTTAGTTCCTGAGGTTATTTTATCTATTATAATTTGATTTTCAAAAGAAATACTGTAAAATGTTCCAAGCTTAGAAACCGGGGCCGGCATTTTTGGAATTTAGGGTGGGGTTGGCCTCTTTAATTAATCTTTACAAAAGAAAAAAGGGGAAGATTCGTGCTGTCATCCACTCACATGCTGCACCTCCCATCACCTACACAATTTTCAATCCATCTGCTTCAAATGTAAAAGGACGTGGGCCCACCATCCCATCACCTCGGCCCTCCGCCCAAAGCGAGCATCAATGGCCGAGTATTTCTATGCATTCACATGCAACACACTCACGCAATGGCGAAAGGAAGAGCTCCAACGGAGTAAAGAAAGAAATAGAATTACAAAGGGCTTTTACATGAACTTGGCCGAATCCACTTACATGGGATGGAAAAACAAGAGTCAAAACTAACATCCCGCTTAGCAGGTTTACTAATCCAACGCAATAGTTAAAAGATAGCACCAGGGTTTGAATGATACAAAGGACAAGGGTGGAAAAAAACAAGAAAGGGTGCTTTCCCACTTTGCTTTTAGGGACAATTGGGGTTTTTACCGGGGCCCCCATAATAAATGTAATGGCCCCAATCCCCGTTACTCCCTGTTTGTACATCATAGCAGTTGGACTGTTCTGTAAAGGTGCCGAGTCCTTTGGGAGCCTTGAGATTATTGGAGTCGTCAACAACTTGTATGTTCCTGAAATAACTAGACTTGCCAAATCCTTCTTCTGGGAATCGGCCGCTGCCCATTTGAGTGGACGTATGATGACCATCTGCTTCTGAATTCACTACTTCACCTCCCCACTCGATCATCGAAGCGCTTTCCGCCAAGTAGGAGAATAAGAAGGAAGGCCAATAACCCAGCACGTAGTCATTACCAAACTGCATCCACCAATGCCCCTCCTTTGGATCCTACAAAACAGTTTCCCACACTATAATGTTATTGTTTACACCATGACCATCATAACACACGCAGTTTGGTTCATAGAGATGACGTGCAAGTAAAATAAATTGAAAGATCCATGCAATCCTTATCAATCAAATTGTGGACATATGTGCCAGAAAGATGATGCAAAATATATCAGAATCTCTGACCCACAATTATACATAGCTAACTTCTTTCGGAAAGGACAATTTCCATTCAAGTTCACATGCATTGTTTTTTTTCCTTTCTCGAAACGTGCTCACATTTCTAACCCAGAAATGTGTTCACATGCATTGTTGGCAGGATCGATCCATCTCCTTTGGCTAATTTTATAAAATCATAATAAAGAACTATCGTCAGTGTTCAGAATCTTCAAAAATTGAACCTCGTCTTTTTTACCTTCCATACAAGTATACTGATATCATATTGAGAATTACGATAAGCTGAAACAGGAGATATACTTGCTCCCATTGCTATTTCACTGTTAACTTGAATGAAACCAGAACAGAGGAGATTGTAGCAGCCTGTAGCTTGATATGCATCACTCTGTAGAACATTAACCGTGACAAAAAATCTTAATAAATACTTAGAAAAATGATCAGCAAGGGTAATTGAAAGTGAACTATAAACTGTAGACTTACGGTCCAGTAGGTGAAAAGCCTTGTATTGTTGTCACCATAGAGATCCGGGCTAACCTGTTTACATTGACATGCGCATACATTAAACTTTTACAAAATTAAAATGAATAACTGGAAAATAAAAATTGAAAGCAGGTAGACGAACTGCTTAAAGCAAAACGACCAAAGCAATTACCTGCCAACCTGCTTCAATGCTATTAAGATCTTCACCAAAAGAACCTCCAAGAATCCACAGCTGGGATAAGCTGAACTCATTAGGCTGCTGTATTTTGGGTTCCCAAACGTTTATGGTTGCTTTAGCTCCATAATACTTATCACCTTCCACATATGCTATTGCATGCTAATCGCCCCCAACAATAAGAGAAAAATGCAAAAAATACATAAGATTAAAAAAAGGAGGTAAAATGTTAGTAAAAAAAATGCACCTTTATTTTACCTGATGACCACTTTCATTGGTGAGATCGGGATCTGCAGACCTGGGCTGAGGGATGGCCCTATGCTTCTTCTTACCATATCTTTTAACTGAGCTTGCCCTCAAAACATCTTCTTCCTTAGTTCTTCTGATAGGAATGGTTCCTTGGGGACATTTACCATTCATGTGCCACAACTGAGTTATGGGTTTCTCAGTGTGTTTGTAAGAGACCTTGTTCTCGTCAAAAAGACCTTCTGGGTGGTAACTAGGCCTCATCTGGTGCATCAAAAAAAATCAATCCTTCCAAATAAAAACTATAAGAAAACGCTGCACACTTCACACGAATGGAAAATGAGCAGGAGAACGAACCTGAACTTTGTGGTCTTTGAGAAAAGGATGATCAAAAGCAGGCTGGTGAGAGATGTGAACACAGTCTATAATGTCACCATCTGGACTCTGTATATTACCATTCAAAACAAAACTACACCATTAGTTAAAATTATCAACATACACATGTACCAACACGAAATTATTTTTACAAACCCAAAGTAGTTTTTTAGTTTAAAAACCGCGCAGAAGATTAGATCAAAACAAAAAGAACCGTTTCCTGCAGTGATTTAGGGCTCGTTTAACACGAAATTACTTTTACAAACCCAAAGTACTTTGTTTAGTTTAAAAACAACCGCACAGAAGATTAGATCAAAGCAAAGAGAAGCATTTCCTGCAGTGATTTAGGGCTCGTTTCCAGGAAGGCCCTTGAACCGAACTAATAAAACTTGATGAAATGCTCGGCTTACCTGGATGGTTTTAACACCCGGTTTGTTCAAGCGGTTCAAGTGATTTTGCACTTGAAGCTTCTGTCTCGACACACTTAGCCTAGCCGCGCATGATAGTGAAATCAAACTCAGCATCCAGAAAAAAGCTAGCAGAGCCCCTTTTGCTCTCTCGCTGCTAAAATGCACACCCCCCATTTGCTTGTTTATTGCTAAAAATACCCAAGCTTTTTCCTCTTCTATGTATGGCAGAATGCTCATATACCCACCTACAGTGCAAAGTAGGGAGATTAGATTAGAAGCAGCTGTTTCCACAACCATAAACCAAGGCAGCGAGGTAGAAAGAGATAAAGAATCCGTAAAGTCCCACCTTTTAAGTGGTTCTTCCTCCTTTACACTACAATCCAATTTCAAATAGTATTATTTTAAAAAGGGTAAATTACAAATAATCAATGAACTTTATTTTTATCCTAATTTGTTCACTGAACTTTGAAATTTTTTAATTTACTCTCTAAAATTCAAAGATTGATTTTTTTTCTAGCACTGTGATGATACGATATATATGTCAGAGCTGATAAGAATCTCAAGCACAATATCTATTAGAGAAAGTAGTTCCCACAACTACTTAAAATGGTCCAATAATAATCCATAAGTTTACGCTCCACTATTAAACGGCAATGAACAACGTGATATTTTCCAACTCGACTGTGTAAATATGAAGTACTTTTGTTTGTGTATTTTAGAGTATCAATAGCGGTATTAAATATAATAAGTATCAGGCTCCATATATATATATATATATATATATATATATATATATATCACAAACATCAATAAAAATGGTGAAGAAAATAAACCTCATCAGCATCAGGGAGCCCATCTTTGCGTAATACAAGGGTTCACTTCTTTTCAAAATCCAGATTCCAGAATAGTATTTTTTTTTTGTAGGAATACTGAGTATAGGAAAAGAACGATACAAAAATGGTTAAAGAAGACAAGAAGAAGAGTAAATCAAGATAAAAATGCACTACAGAGAAGGAGAGTTTATACACCAAAGGAGATGAAATGTCAAAACAGAGATGCATGCATTGACATATAGTGCATTGACATTGAATGTTAACAGATGGCACGGATGATAACAATGAGAGCAAACGAACGAATAGAGCTGCACAAAACTAGAGAAAAGATATTTAGGAGGATGAGCAATTTTTAATGAAAAAGAAAACAAAGTAAAAAAAAATGTAGGCTCAACAATAAAATATCTCGTCCCAAAAACCCTACTTCATAATCGATGATTCCACTCATGCTATCAAGCCACAAACCTCTTAAAGAGACATGGTGATAGGCGATGCAATTGATGATTTGCAGGAAAAGATATTTTCCATTGATGATGATGATATGGAACTCCAAGAAGATGGTGTGAATGTAGGGAGATTGATGGAATTCCTTTTATCGATTTCTCTGACCGTGTCCAAACATTCGCTCTTAAGAGTGACTATGGTCGTCAAAATCCTAGGAAGGAAAACTGGATACAATACTCTCCAAAGTCGTATCAAAAGTATCTATAAACCAACAAATCCAATCAAACTCATAGATATTGAGAATAACTATTTCTTGATCAAGTTCTCGGCTCAGAGCTAATATCTCAAAATCTTTTCTGCTGGTCCATGGACAATATTTGATCACTATCTTACTGTTAAGCCACTACCAACGGATTTTAGCCTCTCTCAGACTCATCCAAATCGAATTATGGCATGGGTTCGACTTCCGGGTCGTCTTATCACTTGGTACAAGAGAAGCATGATCGAGGCTATAGGAGCAAGAATTAGATATATTATTAAAATCGACTATCAAATTGATAATGGTCGTTGGAGACGCTTCGCTCAAATGGCAGTAAACATTAATCTCAAGAAACCCCTTGTCTCAAAGTTAACTAGCAATAGGCTGCTCAAGTTGTAGAATATGAATCGCTTGTGATAGTATGCTTCAATTGTTGTATTTATGGGCATGGATCTGATTTTTGTTTGAAGAAATTATCTAAGGATGGAAACGAAGAAGTCACACATGTTGAAAACAATCAAACTATTGCTCCTCCTGTGAATAATGAACCCTTTGGACCATGGATGCTAGTGGAAAGGAAGCAGAGAGACTTTGGAATGAGCTTGAAGGTCTGTTGTACAGAAAGTTTGGGACCTGTGTATTTATGGGAGGGTGCTCTTAGTTGATTCACAGAGTGCGTGTTCGTGATGTGGAGTCATAACTGAATTTTCAATTCCGTTTGTGAGGTAAGGCCATATTGAGATGGTTCTAGTGCTGCTTTGGTACTTAGGCAACCGTAGAAGATGCATTAATGAAATGAAAAAATTGTTATGAGTTTCTGTTGGCTGTATGGTGTCGGTTTGCAAGGGGAACAGTCCTGTTCCAGGTTGGTCATCTGTGATAGTCGGTCAGTCGAAGTTTTATATTGGTTACGTCTGCCAGAGTAGTGGAAGATGCTGGTTATAGGGGAATCCTTTGGTTCTGTTTCGAGCCTTGCTTCATCTTTTGTTTTCGGGTCCTACAACTTGCTTAGGATCAGACTTTGAGAAAGCATTAGCAATTGAAAAACGTCAGTTGTATTAAGAGGGATTGCGGACTGTATGGAGTACTCGGTTGTATTAAGAAGGATTGCGGGCTGTCTGCAATGTTCAAGTGATGGTTTCGTAGCGTGGCTGCAGCTTGTTGTTGGATTTGTTTTGTTTTAAGGAGTTAATTTTTGCATTCGGGTGCATTTTGTATTGGCTTTGTACTGCTGATTGGTTTCACGTTTTGTTCCTAGTTAAGATACTCTTTTCCTCCATCTAGGTTTTAGAGAGGTTTTTAATGAGGATCATAACTTAGACTTGTTTCGATTAATAAATTTCATCTTGGCGAGAAAAAAAATAAAAAACAAATTAAATATTGTGCATTCAAAATTTAACCCTATTGTTGCTGATGGTGATGCAGGATATGAACATTCGGAACATGTTGATCCCGATTCACATAATGTTCAGACTGCAACCAATTCCCCCGCTAAAAATGTGATACCTAATCTTGGCAAAGAAAATACTCCTCGTTCTTCCTAGAAGACAAAGGTGGAAAGGAAAGCGCATATCCCGATCCCCAAACCAAATATTATGCTTAGTGCTAGAGATCTCAATATTCGGTCCTCTCGTAATTATGGTTCTCATACAACAAATTTTAGCTGAGCTTCAAAGGTCTGGATTCTTATTCTGTGTTGAACCCTTTGAGACACACCTCTGTTACATGATCCGACGATCACAATTTACTTAATCCGAGCCCCTCCTATGCGTGATCTAACGTGGGAACTGTCTCTCTCTCTCTCAAATTATTCCACTCATGATACGATTGATCCTTTAAAGCCTCCTGATACAGCCAAGGGCTTTCGATCGATGGATGTGATGAATGTTGATAATATGTTTGAGGTCCAGGACCCAAATCTGGAGTTGTCGAAGATAGGCACCAAGCCATGCAAGAATAATTCTTGGCTTCTGCTCCTCTTATTATTATCTTATGATGGATTTAATAACCTTTTCGTTTAGAATGCTTAAAGTTGTAGTAATCCCAGTTTTACCTGTGTTGCTCATCAATATATTCGAGACGTTCATCCAGGTATTTGTGTGTTTGCTGAGACACTTGTTAGTAGAAGACGCACTGATGAAGTTATTAAAAATCTTGGATTTTCCAACTCTAATTATCCCTCAACAAACAAGTTTCTTAAAAGGTTGCAACATTATAGAAAATAGTATTATCAATCAGGAAGTTATACACTCCATGCACGTTAAAAAGGGTCAACTAGGACTTTATGACGGATACTCTTAATGATGTAAGACTCCCTTTTGCTCTTATTCAGTTAATTAATGAAAGTGTTACTACATCTTCCATGCCATTATTTAATGATAAACTGAGCCAAATCTTTACTCCAAGAAATGACATCCACTGAGGTGATCCCTTATCACCCTATTTATTTGATCTTACTATTGAAAGACTAAGTCAACGGCGTCTCCCTTGGCGTGTCGAATGCCTCCTGGGTAGCATTTGTTAGAAAAATTACGTGCACTATTCATAGAAAAATAATAATGATAATCAAATCATTATAAAATTAAAGGCAAAGAACGAGTTTAATATCTTAAGATTGTTAAGTGGGGTAACAATTCGAGACAAAATCAAACTTAAGAAAATCAAACAAATAAGTTAAACTTCGTAAATTAAATCAAAATTAAATAGAAAGAAAAATATTCATTTTATTTTGATCAGTTGAGATTGGAATCAGTTGAGGCATGTCTCTACATATTTTCCTTAAGACAGATTTTCGGTTAGTCCTTTGGTGCTCGAGTTCGTTGGTCGTCTGTCTCTCAGGCTACAACAACTTATGATCAGCTACAGTAGCATATCTGCAGAGATCACGAACGATCTTTGCCTTTGACTATCACAAAAAAAACTAAGGAATATAATATTTTCTAAGGAGAGAAAATATTTTTCAATAAAAGAAAAATTCTTGAATTTTGAGATATGTGAAAAATCTAACATGTTTACTCATTATTTATGGGGGATTTTCAAGAGAGGTTTAATACAACCAGATATATTTTAATATTCAACATTAAATAGATAATAATATATTTTAGTTTGAAATATTCAAAAGATAAAACTCCTTTTTACCTTTCAAGCTTAAATATATATTATTTTAATTTGAAATATACAAAAGTATATAATTATATTTAATATTCAAAGTTTAAAAAGATAACAAATACCTTTTTAAATTGACATATTAAAAGAGTAATTATCCTACTAATATTTAAATTAAATAATATATTTAATTTGTAATAGTCAAAAGGAATATGAATTTAATATAAATATTAAACCCATCAATTAAATTTACCTTTTTTTCCGACAATCTTCCATTTGAATGAAATTGATGATTTAATCAAAAACTTTTTGGCACGATGTGGTGATAGCCTCTACGATCGATAGTTGCATAAGAAAGGTAAGTGTTCTCCTTTGAATCTTCCATTGTGATAGTATGTTTACTTTACTGACTAAACAATAGACGCGATGTCCTTGAACTGTTATGATGTTTGTGTAAAGGATGACATACTTCACACAAATACCCCTCTAACAAGAATTTAGTTCTCATGAGTATGTCTTTAAAGCCATCGAAATCATCTAGTTCTGCAAGAGTTTGATAGAACTATGCTCCAATTGTCTCCTTAAAACAACCCCATTTCACTCTCACATAGGTGACTTATATCGCTCGGCTCACCGCAACACACAATAGTCATTAAAATCTTTTGCTTAGC